ATATTTAATGCAGTAAAATTTAAAACTACATTAACTATGTTATTATAATTTTAAAATACTATTCAGTAAATAGGTTCAGCTGATTGTGTCAACTAAAATGGATTAATACCTAATCTAATTTTTTTTTTTATATAAATTTTTTTAAAAAATTAATAATATTATTTCAACAATATGCAAAATTACATTAATATAGAGTTATAAGAATTGGTATCGCAATCTCACGCAAGATCTAAAAATGGTGTCAGCCTAAAATCACCGGACTAACATCTACTTAGATGCCATTTATAAAACCTTGCACCCGAAAATGACTTGCTTCGACAATTTTCGAGCTATTAGTATCGAATATTTTTTTTAACAATTGCATCATGTTTGACAATCACATATTATTCTAAATTGGAATGAGAGTATCAATATATGCATGCACATGTAATTCTTATTTAGGTTCCTATATCTTTGGCAGGTGGGCTTGTAAATAATAAGTTATATCACTTTCATATGCTGATATTCCTCCATATATACATACATATATATATATATATATATATATATATATATAGATTGAGGGGAATTGTTGTTGATATGAGCATATATGTGATGTTGGATAACCCATCAAGAAATGGAACCAACATGTACATAGCATGTGGGAAGTAGGCATATTTGTGCTTTTGTTTTTAACCATGATTCAAGATTCAATCCATAAATTGGGAAAATTATATTTTGTTTCCTTAAAGTTTATTATAAGCTACACCTTACATTATATATATATATATGTACATTATGAAATTAATTATATCATAACATTATAAAATCTAAGCAAATATATTATAGAAAAATAAAAAAATGTGGAAAACATCGAAACACTCTAAAAAAGTGATAGTCTGATATGGTAGCCACTATTAATCGCTGCCACTATTAATTAAATTATCTTATATACAAAGTACTTGTTATTCATGATTGACAGGTCGAAATCCAATGTATCTATCGCGAAGAAAATAAATGCATTGATTGATTGGTAAATGCTGATTTTTTTAAATTGCGTTTTGACATCCGGTTTTCAAATTTTCTTTCAAAAATACTATCAAAACTTAAATTTTCACCAATTTTTTCTAAAATTATTTTCAATTAAATCCTTAAGAATTTTTTTCTTTTTTATTGTTTTTATTATTATTATTATTTCCATCAAAATAAATTAAATTCTATTAATTCTTAATTATATTTATTTAGAATTAATTAAAAATAAAATAATAATAATAATAATTCTTGAATGTTACACTCTTAATTCTATAAGTGCATAACGATCTCTTAATTTTCTTTTGACTCTTCTCGTACTAAAAATAATAATAATAATAATTATCTTATTAATTGCAAATGTTCTTGTTTAAAAAGTGATTCTTAATTCCCACAAAACGCACCACTGATAATTCTAAGCATCATGATCTTGGAAATGCAGCCTCCAGAATTTTTTACCTCTATGCATATCTGCCCATGTAGTCTTAGATGCTTACATATATACATATACACACATATATATATATATATGTGTGTGTGTGTGTGTGATAATAAGGTGTTATATATACGTGGGAGTTTGGCAGATTTGAAAGAGAAAAGAAGCTGCGTGTGTACGTATAGGATTAAGTATATATGTTCATATAATTGAAAAAATTTACTGCACTTGATTAAAAATTATATTAAAACTATAATAATTCAAAAATTTTACTATATCTAATCAAAATTTTATTATGGCTAAAACTGTACAATTGAAAAATAAACGTGTCGTAATTGCATTAATTGAAAATTATACTAATCTAATTTGAAATCTTAATAATATATTTAATTTTATTAATTGTACATTAAAAAATTTACTAAAATTAATATTACATTGCTGAAAATTTGTAATAATAAATATCAAGCTAAGAATTTCAAAAATGGTAAATCGTATAATTAAAAAATTTGACCGCACAAAAAACATTAGTGCCGACTAATACTAAATTAACTTAATTAATTATGTAATTTGTGCGTAACATAAACTACAAATATCATAACAATAAAATTTAAATAAATATTTATAAAATTGTTTTAATTTTTTTTTTTAATATTTTTATGCTTAAAATATATTAATTTTAGAAAATAATTAAATCGTTTTCAATGATTTTCTTAATAAATAAATAAATGAATAACATGTTTTAAAAAAAAAGTCAAAATTAAAGTCAAAATAGTAGAAGTCACGGGCTTTGGCGCCAAAACCATCCCCAAATCCCTTGCCTTCAACTTTTTAAAATGCACTCTGCTTCATTGGTAATAAAATTGCAGCAACCTATTTGGGATCCTCAAAATGAAAACCATTCGCCAAATGTAACGCTCCATTTCAAATCAATCATCTCTCTCTCGCTCTTACCTAGGGTTTCCAACCGGTGATTCTTCTTCTATAATTCTCGCAAGTCGCCGGAATCTTCCTGGAAAATGGCGACTGTTTCCCCTTGTATCCCTCATTCACAGACCACTTGCGGCTCTCTTCTCCAGGAATTGCAGGTTCTCTCTCCTCTCTCTCTCTCTTTCTCTCAGTTTAACTTCATATTTTATCTTTGATTGATTTTCTTCCGTCCACGCTCGTTTTTTATTTCAAAATTGACATGTCCCTTACTTGCTCTGGCTTCATTTCGGATCACTCTTTGATCAACGTTCATTGAATCAGTTGATGAGATGGATGTTGTTTTTTGTTTTAAACTTGCCTTGATTAAACAGGATGTATTTTTATTTTTTTAATTTCCTTTTAACTCTTCTATGGATTTCTTGCGGTCGGTTTGTCCTTCTTTTTTTTTTTTTTTGACAAGACTCGATAATTAAAAGGATTTTCATTTCTGTTTTATTGTTTACAAACGAACTTCTTTTTCCTGTTTAATATTTATTTCCGTTTCATCTATTATCTTTGGTAAAGTTTACTAGGATTTTCAAGTCAATTCTGAGAATGCCGATGAATTCAACTGTAAATGAAATCGGGATCGTGAATGTTTCGATGCTGTCTTTGACCTAAATTTCTCCTGTGCTTAATCTTTTTTACTTGTTTGATCTTTTGTTCAATATATTTCTTATTCAGCGCCTCTAGTAATTATGTTTATATTTCACTCATAATTGGACATCTATGCTTATACTTAGTCGAAGTTAAGATCATCACCATCCACATTTGTAGATTGAGTTTCTCACATAATTGATCATTACCAAAATAGGTATGCACTTGTTCATGTCTACTGTTTTCCTATCTTTATGATATGCAGAACCTAATTTCTTGGTAGCTTAATTGCTTTGTTTTCATTCATGTGATTAATTGTTGTTATGTAGATTATATGGGATGAAATTGGGGAAAGTGATAGAGACAGGGATAAGATGCTTCTAGAACTTGAGCAGGAATGCCTTGATATTTACCGAAGAAAGGTTGAGAAAACTAGAAAGTACAAGGCCGATTTGCATCAATTGCTGGCTGAGGCTGACGCTGAAATAGCAGACATTTTTTCTGTGCTTGGAGAGCACACTTCATTCTCACGGGTTTGTTCCTCATATTCTTCTATGACTGTGATAACCATGATCAGAATACTTTTTATTGATTAATGACCTGGCCATGTCATTTATTGAAATTACTGGAAATATCATCTTTCTGCAGATTTTGAAACAATTGGAGCAAATTTTGAACTAATATTGAACTACGTGTTACATAACTATGTTATATAAATATTCATTCTTCATTTTTAATGTTGATTTGGTTCCCTTTTGCTCCTTGAGAAGGGAAAAGGCACTCTTAAGCAGCAAATGTCTGCTATAAAACCAATGTTGGAGGACCTGCGTTTGAAGAAGGAACAAA